CGGACGCGTAGCCTAGCGGCTCCTCGTCCGGAACCGGTCGCGTAGCCACGGCCTTATTTATTTGGTTACTACTTATTTTGTATTGTATTTTTATTTTGACATTATAAATTCTTAATAGTTACATCGCATAATTATACAATCATGCAAATTGAACTTTCTACATTTGGCATTTGCTACACCATCTGTTATAACTTTAATTATTGATCTTTGATCTAAGCTTCTAGGAGCCATAGTAGTCATTTGTATGAAGTCACTGCTCGCATACCCGGGTATTGATCAAAGTAGTGTCATATATGTGTCTATGTATACGATGATAATGGTAGAATGCGGAAGAGTCGTATGTGACACTTTGTTTACATGGCCATTACAGAATGGTTAAATCGTGCGGCAATCTTCAATAGGGACGTCTTGTACGATGCACTCGAGAAGAGACCGAAACACAGACCCCTCATCACCGTTGCTAACCACATCTCATGCTTCGATGAGCCATTGCTATGGGGTAAGAGGCTAAGAGCAGGGGCGTGTACAGGATTTGTACCAGGGGGGGTCTAACCATAACCCCAACTTGCGAGCACGCGAAGGGGGGGTCTGGCGGGCCCTCCCCCAGAAATTTTTTGAAATTAGACCCCCTTAGATGGGTTTTCTGCGCGAGCTCCGGACCCCCCCCGTACACGCCCCTGAAGAGCTGGCATGTGGTGGCTGCCTTAACAACCCGTCATATCCACTGCAATACGACGGGCTGTAAGAATCAGTATAGACCCTGTACCAATATGTATATGTATATATAGTTGCGTCTCAGCTTGTACATTGCAGGTTGTGTTCTCACTGTAGTACACTATCATGCTGAAACGTATCTACGTTTGTTGTGCATATATTTGGGAAAGAAATATGTAGCTGAACTGGGCTTGGTTTTCGTGCAGGGATGCTGCGGATGAGGCACTACGTCAACACAGAACTGATGCGCTGGTCGGCGTCCGCAGCAGAGATATGCTTCGACAAGTACAGACACAGGCTCTTGTTCTCTCTCGGTCAGTGCGCAGTGAAAATTACGTTCTTCGTCCTGAATCTCGCATGCAGCTCTTCTTGTTTCTCTCGGTCAGCGCATGGCGAAAATTGCTTTCTTCGCAGCGAAAACCACCTCTGTGAAACTATAATCTCGTTATGACTTCTCTGTGGAAAATGCCGGCGTTCGCATCACAATGAAGAGAAAAATAATGATCAATGCTCCATTTAGGAAAACCCGTTGTCACAGGGAAATATAGGCATATCTTCTTGTTGCTTCTCTGTGGAAACAGTTTACTATTGTCATTCATACTATGACAGGGGGAAAATACAGATCGATACTAAATTTAATAAAAATCTGTTCATGACGTGAAATATCGGTGCATGGGTCTATAAATATATCTAGTAGTCTTGGATGTTGAGTACTTAGATTTCTTAGAACCTAGGTGTTTACGGCAGGCGAATGGGTTACTGTGCAGGTAAGAGCGTGCCGATCGTGAGAGGGGACGGTGTGTATCAGCGCGGCGTCGACTTCATGTTAGAGAAGCTGAACGAAGGAAGATGGGCTCACATGTTTCCCGAGGGTGAGCCATGGATAGCCCCGCATCCAAGTCTAGTCGAGTAGTGCCATCTACTGGGCAAAAAAAGATACGAGCCAGTGCGAAGTTGTTGATAAATGAGACAGTTTGAAGTCTAGAAAATCTTGCTGGAGTACGGCCTATAATTAATTGTAAAATTGAGATATATTTTTTACTGCAATATGCAGCAATATGCAATGTGTGGATCTATCAGTTTGATCAAATTCAACTCTGTTCTTCTCCAATGTTGATACAGTCCATTAGGCTTTGAAGATTAATCTCATTGAGGTTATGAGGTTACAGTCATCTACTGCATAAAAGATCAGGAATAAATAAAGCAATCGATAAATGAGATAAGTTTTCTGACATTACCATCATTATGACAGTTTGCCTTTTCTTTTTTTCCTCAGGAAAAGTGAACTTGACTAAAGAAGTGATGCGTCTTAAATGGGGTAAGGTTTGAGAATTCGACGACACTGCATTGCGATGCTCCGATACATCTAATCCCGCTATATTCAGTCAGCCAATCGTGATACAGATCATGATGCAAGGTCGCAGTAATGCTTTCTCTGACACGACTTTCGACCGAAACCACTGTTCGTTACAGTGTTTCGTCCCGTGAAAAGCTAATATATATATACGGCGCGTTATTTTTCTGCAGGTGTTGGAAGATTAATATCCGAGTGCAAGGTGTCGCCCATAGTCATTCCAATATGGATCACAGGTAACTACAAAGCTCACAAATACTAACATAACTAATAATCACAACTATGAAGTCACAATACACAACTTGAACTGCCGGTCTTACCGCGTCATCAAACGTTCATGAAATCTCTTATTCGCGATCAATTTGAGCCTCACGACTAATTTAATTGCAAGGTAGATCCAAACATATTGACTTGTCAACGGGTTTCGATAAAATTCGATTTCAATTTCTCAGCTGCTTTAGTCGAGCTGAATAAGGTTGTTGTGCATGTCACCAGGTGGCAGCAGGTGACAAGAGCTCGTAGTTCATAACCTGTACCTTGCTGTTTTGTAGGCATGGATGACGTCCTACCGAACAAGTCTCCATATATTCCAAAATATTTTAAGGTGAGCAACACATTTTTACACGTATTAAATTCTTGTTCCACGCTAAACCAATATAAGCCTCATCAGTATTATTGACATTAGCTGTGTGTTTACAGAAAGTGTTTCGTTTTATCGTGTTTGCAGAAGGTGACGATTTACGTCGGGGACCCGATGGACTTTGAGGACGTTCGTCTGAAGATGACGTCCAACGATGGTCCGGTGAGTAGGTCCACGACGCGCGCCCTCTAGTGTCACAATTAGGAACTTGTTTTGATGCCACCAGGTGGCACTAGCAAGATGTGCAGCTTCGTTATATTTGTAGATGTTTGTACGTACTGTTAGTTAATTAACTCGTCTTATTAGGTAATTAATTAAGATAAAATTGTCTAGATGATTAACTAGCGCTCATCAGAAATGATACAGATCCGTAACTCAACAAGCTGGTTCTGAAATGCACGTGCATTGGCAGTGGAATGTCGTTGTATATGGTATATATCGGTAAAGACTATATATATATATATATATATATATATATATATATATATATATATATA